ACTACTACTACTACTACTACTACTACTACTACTACTACTACTACGACTACTCTACTACTACTACTACTACTACTACTACTACTACTACTACTACTACTACTACTACTACTACTACTACTACTACTACTACTACTACTACTACTACTACTACTCGAACGGTATGTCCTCTGGCTCGGTCTGCTTCTCACTCAGCCTGTCCGCTGCCATTTGTGTTCTGAGGCTGTGATGATATCCTTCCGTGCCCGCCTTAGACGAGCTTGAAGGTACCTTCCTGCTGACCTGATACCATCTGCCTTGAGAAAGAGCCTATCTTTCGCATCCACTTCTACATCTATGTTTCTAGTCTCCTCCTCCTGCTTCCCCCTTTCTGCGCCTCGCATCTTGGGGTTGAAGGGGACGTGAACGGGATGGTCTCGCAACTTGGGGCTGAGGCGGCGTCTGCGTTTACGACATGTTCACACAACACCAGGATCAGTATTTCGACGAGCTCGCTGCCAGCTGGAGTAAGTGCGCCAGGAGCGTGCATTTCACAACGACTACATTGGCATCATGCTGCTGGCAGCGACGGTGATGTGGCACGTCACATTCTTTGCTATTCGCAGAGGGTGTGCGCGAGAACGTTGTAGGCCATGTGATGGTCGATGAGGCCGAGCTTCTTGCCCAGCTCCCAAATCATGAACGTGGGTTTCGAGAAGAGGAGGTGCTGCGAGAGTTTGGTTTGTCCGCTGCAGATGCTGCTGGGAAGAAGCCACGAGTGGCCTGCAAAAATCCCCCTGGCCATGGGCGCGTTCGAATTCCTTCAGGTCTTCGTCTTCCCAGGCGGCGCAGATGCAGCTCTGAGACAGGACGGATCGCCCGCGCACGTGGTCCAGGCATTGATGAAGGACGAGGTCGGTTGGCAGATTCGGCGGCGAGCGAGGGGGGGAAGCGATTTGCCTGCTCCAGGACTCGGGCTTGGGAATCGTTGTCGGGCAATTGCGGCTCACGTATCTTATATTGTGTGACAATGTGTACATTTTCTGGCACATAGCCACATCCAGCTGCAGGACGTGGCAACACATCACCGACCAGTTGACATCGTATCGCTTCCATTCAAAACATACTGTGCCAGCTTGGAGTACCTCACCACTGATGCCGACGCGCCAACGCGCCGGAGTTGTATATGGGAGCGCGCCCTCGAGTGCGAGAGAGCAGATATCGGTAACCAGAGTGCGCGTGAGCATACAGCTCGGCACCATCCGGGCAGACACCAGATCCAGCGTCGAGGACGGGAACGCCCATATCGCTGCTGCAGTGCGCGCGTGGTGGTCGGACACGGAGGTACGAAAACGGAATTCGAATCGACAGGAATGTTTGGGCTGGTATCGTGCCAACGTCCAGCCGATCCTCATATATGTCGGCGGTGCGCCGTGGCACGAACCCCCCCCCCCAGCACTACCGGGGGGTTTCGTGCACTACCAGGGGGTTTCGTGCAGCCCGCACCGGGTGCCGCCAGCGGCTTAGAACACCCCCCCCTTGCCGCTTTACCGGGGGGTTTCGTGCAGGCCGCACTGCGTCTACCTGGGCTCCCCCCCCCCCCTGTGGGAGTGGGGGGGTGGGAGTGGGGGGTGGGTTGGGGGGGGGGGGAGGGGGGCGGTTGGGAAGGGTGGCTCCCTGCCGAAGTGTGGCGTGTGCTCGCCTTGTGTTCTCTATTCGCGTCTGCTCGCCTTTGTTCCGCCGCAGCCTCTCGTATTGTGGCTCGTGGCCACAATACGAGAGGCTGCGGCGCAACTCCCGAGAGCCGCTGTGGGGGGTCGACGGCACGGCCGCGTGGAGAAGAACAGTGCCGCCGTGTTCCGGCACGGCCCTGGGATGCAATGCCGCCGCCGTGTTCCGGCCCGTCCTGGTAAGATTCGCGCGTCGGGGCTGGGTTTCGCGCGTGCTGGGAGCGCGCCGCTTACGGAGGGGTTGCGTCCTTACCGGGGGTTTCGTGCAGCCTACCAGAGGAGGTCGTGTTTACCGGGGGGTTTCGTGCAGGCTCGCACCGGGAATGGCGCCAGCTCGAAACCCCCCAGGAGAGATTACCGGGGGGGGGGTTTCGCTCCGCACCGGGCACCGCCGACATATATGCATCTAGCACCCGGGCGCTGTGCCCTACCCTGCTGCAGAAATTCATCAAACCGAGAAGGGGTTTACTTTGCTGCACAGCTGGATTGCGCGGGCGCCCTGAGCGCATGTCACTCGAGAGGTGGATGAGAACCTGTGCCACGCGAGCCCGCAAGTCCCACGCGCAGCTCGGGAGTCAGCCTGCAGAGGAGGTCGCTCTTGCCTGCTGCCGCGCAGCCACTCGCACCGTCACGACAATGTCTGCGGGTACTCCTCCTCCTCCTCCTCCTCCTCCTTTTCCTTGGTGGCGTGCGCTGCTTCTCCTCCTCCTCCTCCTCCTCCTCCTCCTCCTCCTCCTCCTCCTGCTCGCGATGGCTCCAAGAGTGGGCATCACGCGCGTGCTTTCTGGCGCCGTGCTGTCCAGCCTCCCTTGAGTAGGAGCGGCGGGCACGGCAGGCTCGACGCGCGGAGCCCCGTCGGGAAGCCGCGCGCCGGAAGGCGCGACCGCTTCCGAGCCGTCGTCGCGGAGGAGCCCGGCTGGCAGCGCGGCCGCGGGCGGTCGAAGCGCGCCTTGTGGGAAGGCCTGCTGGCGAACGCTGCTTCAGAGGAGGAACAAAAGGGTATCCGCCATCCTTCCCGCGTGTTCCCCTTCCTGGGCCTCCTGGGGGGCCCTCGTCGCCACTGCTGGATTCGCTTCGAAATTCTTGACGTTTCGCGTATCCCCACCAGCCACGGCGGCTTCTGACCCCCCCTTGCACATGGGCGTGGTGACAGTACGGTCAGCCTTGTCGGCATTGGCAGATAAGGACGTCGGTCAGGCACCTTTCTGGCGCTCGTGTGTGACGTCGGCTGCAGTCACAGGAGTGCCTTCGAGATGCGCAGGCCGCACAACGCCTTGGTACCAGGGCCATCGCGGGCGCTTCCATTGTGGTCGACCATTACCAGGCTTTGGCCCGAACCCCCCTCTGCGGCGTACAGGCTGGCCGACGTTCCATGTGAGTGATTGGTCTTGGCACCTTTTGCCTGGCAGTCCGGCTCCACCAGCGGGTCCGGCCTTTTTTGCCCCCCCCCTTCCCTCGCTGGCACACGCTCTGCGGCCGGTTTTCCTTTTTGCAATGCTGGCAGAAATTCAGCGTTAAATTTCTCTGCTGCTGGCACACGCTCAGTTTCTTCTTGGCCGGCACGGTGCTGCGCCGTTAATTATCTGCTTCCCGTGCGCTGTGTCCCAGCCTCGTTCTTACCGCCCTCTGGACTTTTCCTTGCGGGCCACGAATCAACAAAACATATCCCCACCAGCCCATCCAGAAACGATGTCCAGGCAAGTTGAAAAGATCAGGGAAGTGGGGGAGCAACGAGAGGGACAGCCGATCCGTGCAAAGGATGAGGCGGAAGAGGAGGCCAGATGGATAGATGAGGGGGTGGCGAGGAACCGAGCGAAGGAGGGATGAGGAGAATGATGACGCTGGGTGGATGGTTGAATGCCGCTCGGATGCCTCTTGGAAGCCTTTTGGAAGCCTCTTCGGGCGTCTTGGGGGTCTCTTGGCGGTCAATGGGGGCTCTTGGGCGTCTTGGGTGCTTCGGGGGGGCCTCTTGAGGCCGCTTGGGATCCTCTTGGGGGGCTCTTGGGGGCCTGTTGGAGGCCTCTTGGGGCCTCTTGGGGGTCTCTTGGAGCTTCATGGCGGCCTCTTGAAGCCTCTTGGAGGCCTCTTGGAACCATCCTGGGAGCCTCTTGGAGCCTCTTGGGGGCTTCTTGGGGCCTCATGGCGGTTTTTTGGGGCCTCTTGGAGGCCTCTTGGAAGCCTCTTGGGGGCCTCCTGGGCGCCCTTTGGGGCCATTTTGGAAGCGATCGATCAAAGAAGGGGGGGTCCCTTATTAACCCTGCCCCTCGGGAGCTCCCAAAATAGCCGCCTGGACCCCTCTTGGGGCGCTCTTGGAGCGCTCTTGGGCGCTCTTGGGGCCGTCTTGGGGCCCTCTTGGGCCCCTTTTGGGGCCTCTTCGGCCCCTTTTGGAGCAATGTTGAGGCCTCAGATGGCCATCGGAAGCGAAAAGGCGAGACGCCGAAAATCATTGGTTTTGAAGGGTTTTGGCTTCTTGGGGGGCCTCCTTGGGGAGATAATTGGCCTCTTGGAGCTGTCTTGGAGCGTTATGAGAGCGTCGTGGAGCATCTTCGGAGCCATCTTGCGGCATCTTAGGCTATCTTGAGCCATCTTGGAAGTCATCTTGGACTATCCGAGGCGCTCATGGAGCCATTTCCGGCCATCTTGGACACTCTGACCGCTCGCGACCGGGCCCGTCCAGGTCCAGGGGAGGGGGTTAGGGGGAGGGGTAAACCCTTCCCCGAAGGGGAAGAAGGGAAGATGGAAGAGGAAACTCCCTAAACCACCTACGCCTGGAGGGCTGGTGGGATTCTAGTCAGGCCGAACCCCAGGAAAGATCCGTGGAATAGCGGTAGGAGGAGGAGGAGGAGGATTTTCCAGGATTTCCGCCTTCACGTAGTGAAAACTAGGCTTGATGCTCAGCTCTTGCACTTGGGAGGCAGGCCGCGCTCGATCCTGTCGAGATATTCGCGCCTGGCCTTCGAGATGGGTAGTTTGCACGGTTCCGCTGGCCCCCCTGAGCTGGGCTTGACCGTAAAAACCGCATGTGCCGCAATACCACAACTGAAGGCCTTTATGATAAATCAAAGCATGAGTGGGATGGGTCCAACCCCCAGCCAAGTGTAAACGCCGTCCTCTAGGAACACGAGCGATCTGACTATTCACATGCTGGAGTTGGAAGCATTCACTTTTTAACCATTCCGCTAAC